TTTTTTTTTTTTTTTTTTTTTTTTTTTTCCGATCTGTCTTTTATTTGCGAACTCGCAACGAAGTGGAAGTCCCGTGAATAACCTTAAGGGCCGAGGTCCAACTTGCAAAGAGGATTCGATTAACCGCCTGAATCTGGACGTGTTTTACACAGATGCAGAACAGCAGATCTATCAACGTGAGATTCTGCACTTTTCTGCAAAAGCGTCCAGATTCAGACCTTTAATGCAAAAGCGTCCAGATTCAGACCTTTAATCCTATCCTGTTTGCTAGTGGGACCTTGGTAGGTCATGAAAGATAAAACGAAGTTGAGTGAAGAAATATAGTGTAGTTTAATAAATTAAATAATAATAATAAAGGAAGATGTACAAATAGCCTACCGTTTTCACCGGAATAGAACGAGCGGTAGTATTTGGGCTTACGGCCCAAATACATCGATAATCACCGGTTGCTGACGAGTTTCACTTGAAGGAACACGGTGATGCACACCAAATACATCCCACTGACTGCCACCGAGAGAAGATTTTTTTTTTAATAAATAAATAACGTTAAAAGTGGTGGTATTTCACTTCCACCGTAAAGTTCCCACTCATTCTACCTCACAAGTCATTTCACCGAGTCGAACTACCTTCTTCCCCCCAATACAACGAACTGTCATTATATCTGTATTTGGCGCATCTTTCAGTCTAAATACAACTAAAATGACCGTACGTTGTATTCGGGGGAGGACTGTAAGAGTCAAGCTCAACAGGGTTTATGTCATTTTTACGAGAGAGGTCTTATTTCCACGAATGCAACCGAAATAGCGATCCCCGCGGATTTTGAAAAAAAAAAAAAAAAAACAGCGGTGGAAGCCGCTTCCCTGCGGCAGCATTCGCTGCTATGCTCTAGTCGTTATTGCGGTCAGATTCATCCTGGCCAAATGTACGCCAACCACGAGAGAGCGATTTACCGTTGATGACAACTCTTAGTTGCTGTAGTCGTTATTGCGGTCAGATTCATCCTGGCCGAATGTACGCCAACCACGAGAGCGATTTACCGTTGATGACAACTCTTAGCTACAGTGCTGTAGTCGTTATTGCGGTCAGATTCATTCTGGCCGGATAGACCCCGACCACGAGATAGCGAAATACCGTTGATGGCAACTCTTAGCTACCGTGATCTAGTCGTTATTGCGGTCAGATTCATTCTGGCCGAATTGACCCCCCGGCCTCGAGATAGCGATCTACCGTTCATGACAACTTTTGGCTACCGTGTTCATCCGAATAGAACACACGGTCACTTTCAGTCTAGATACAGTGATTAAGACCATGCGTTCTGTTCAGGGGAAGACGGTAGCGGCCTCGAGAGCGATCAACGGCGAGAAAGTGACCACCACCTGAAAAGGGGAGAGAGCGATCGACGGCAAAGAAAGCTACCAGCACCTGAAAGGGGGAGTAATTTAGATCAACTTTCAGCCTAGATACAGCGATAAAGACCACATAAAATACCATACGTTCTATTCGGGGGAAGACGGTAGAGCACGAGAGAGCGATCTACGGCGAGAACTCGTCCACCATCTCGAAGGGGGGAAGTAATCTGGACCAATTGTCAGCCTAGATACAGCGATAAACATCATACGATCTATTTGCTGGAACACGGTAGCGGCCCACAGAGCGATCGCCGGTGAAGAAAGCTACCACCACCTGAAGGGACGAAACCCAAAGACTTCAACTGGTTAAGTATACAATATTCCGCGAGTGATGAGGTAACCCCGCCGGAAAAATCCGTCTGACTGTCTGACGAAAACCAAAAAAAAAAAAAAAAAAAAAAGAAGCGATTACTCGCTCGCACTGATGAATAGATAGATCGCGCGAGAGAGACATACAGCGGCGATCGAGCACGGGGAGGCAAATCAATGGCAACAGGCGGACGGTGTTAAGGGAGAGAGGGCGGCGGGGAGAGAGAGAGAGAGAGAGAGAGAGAGAGAGAGAGAGAGAGAGAGAGAGAGAGAAGAGGAGGGAGAGCGGAGGGAGAGAGAAATAGGAGAGAGAGAGAGAGAGAGAGAGAGAGAGAGAGAGAGAGAGAGAGAGGGAGAGAAAGAGGGCAATGCATCAGACATGGGAATAGAGGAGGATGCATTGACAGATCATGCCGATATCGGCACGTTTCTTTTTTTTCCCTAAAGACGTTACTTTTTCTTATTACGTTGCTGGGAGATACCAGTACGTCAGGAAACCAATCAGACGGAAGATATGGAAGTGAGTAGGCAAATACTGATTAGACAAGTGGACAAGAAATTTTCAAAAAAAAAGAAAGAAAAAGAGACCAGTGGACAAGAGAATGCCCAACGAAGACAAGTCGTGAAAGTCATAACGAGAAATAGAAAATAGAGTTGAATAAATGGATTCGTCAACCGCCACTCATATTCCTTTAAAGGAAGGAAGAAGGATAGCAGAAGCAAGCGAAGTCGAAAACATACTTTTTTCTTTTTTTCTTTTTTTTCTTTTTTTTGCTTCCGTTGAAGGAATGCTTAAACAAAACAGAGGGGGGGGGGGAATGAAAGAAAACAAAGCGAATAAAGAAGAATAATAGCCAATGAAAAAGAAAATAAATGAAAACAAAAGAAAATATAAGCGAAAAAAAAAAGAAAAATAGAGAAGAAAAGAAAAAAATGCAGAACAAAGAAAGGGTATAAAGGAGATCAAGTAAGCATGATCGGACCTCGAAGGGAGAGGACTTGATCGCAGTAGATTGCGATAGAGCGACAGCGACCGGTCGCAATAGATTGCGAGAGAGCGACAGCGACCGGTCGAGATCGGGGAAGCAGATCGAGGCCAAGGGCATGTCAATGATAAAGCCAGTAGTTGAAAAAAACAACAATAGTAATAAACATAAAATATATAGCAAAAGTATTTGTCCAAGGAAGTCGGACGATCTCCACGGCGAAGAAACGTAACCTAACGGAGGAACAAACGTGACGTAACGCAAAAAGAAAGTAACATAACACCGATTAGTAAGCAGTAATCACTTCAGAAGAACGGAAAAAAAAAACAAAAAAAACCAAACGTACTGCAGCTGGCCAGGGGCCAGTAAATGATAAAGTCAGTATTTAAAAAAAAAAAAAAAAGATAAACAAAAAAAAATAAACGCAGAAGTTGTCCACGGCAGTACAACGGTCTCGACGGCGAAGAGAAGTAACATAACGGAGGAACAAACGTGACATAACGGCGAAGAAGAGTAACATAACAAAGTGTATCGTAGCGAAAATCGATATCAGAAAATCAAAGAAAATAAAGAAAAAAATGTGCTGCAGTTGGCCAAGGGGCAGTCGATGGTTTAAAAAAAAAAAAAAAAAAAAAATTAAAGCCGCAAGTAGTTGTCCAAGGCAGTCGACCGATCTCGACGGCGGAGAAACGAAACACAACGGAGGAGCAAACGTGATAAAACGGCGAAAAAAACTGACATGACACAGAACACATCGTAGCGGAAGACGACTTCAGAAAACAGTAAAAAAAAAAAAAAAAAAAAAAAAGGTGCTGCAGTTTTGCTCGCTCAATCGACTTCGGCCAGATGAGATACAACATTTAGGACAGCGCGCTATCGACTTCGGCCACTTGAAATTTAGCGCGCTGTTCAAAGAGACAACAAAAAAGTAAAAAAAAACAGAAGAAGGCTAGGCTACCAGAGTGGACCGGGGCCACTTGCCCGGCCGGGCCAAAAAAACTAAAAATATGTATATATTGTCAAATGATATCGGAGCGCCAAACCGAGGAAAACAAGAAAAACTTAAAAAACGTTTTTTATCTTCTTCTTTACAACTCCCCCTGTTCAAGGCCGCCCACGTGGATGTAGGTTGAGCGGCGGCTGCCCCCACCCCCGTGTGTCATATCGGCCCACTTGCACACAGCCAAAAGGCAAAGAGGCAAAGAAGAGAGGAAGGGAACAGCCAAATAAAACAGAACAAGGCGCAACAAAACAGATCCCAGATGACAAGTCCCACATGCAAGCACCGCCCCTGCCCACAGGCCAAACGACGGGGCAAGACCGACCAGGATGTCAAAACATTCTTGTCTGCAAAGAAATAAAAAAAAGTACTTCCCACATACAAGCACCGCCCCGCGATCAAAAGGCCGAACAACGGGAAACAACCAACCAGGATGCCAAAACAATAAAAAAACAAAAAACCGGATGACTGGTCCCACATGCACCGCTACCTGCTGCAAAATAGACCGATATATATATTTTTTTTAACTTTCATTTGTATTTTAAATATGGTAAAGAATTTCGATGTGACCCTGAGGCAAAAGTCGTTCAGTTTTTTTTTCTGCATAACATAGTTTTTCTGGGGATTTTTTGGCTAGGACCTTCCCTGCTCCTTGCACGGCCGGGCCGTCCGGGAAAATAGCGTCACCCCGGGCGGCCCGGCTGGTAGCCCTACGGAAAACAGGGGGGGGGGGGGAAACGGATTGCAAGCGCACGCGAAGTCGGATACATACAGCAGGGACGAACTGGGAAAAAAAAAAAAAAAAAAAAAGGAATAAAACTTACTCAATACATTCATTCCCGGACGTCCGGCGTTTGATGAGCCCATTATTCAATAGATGCAAAATCTGACTCACAGGTAACGAGAGAGTGAAGAGAAAAGAAAAAAAAAAAAGAAAAAAAAATCGGTGAATAATCGTATTCCGCTTACGTTCTTTTCGCCGAACTCCGGCGTTTTATGAGCGCCTTTCATCAGATCAACCGGCTCCATGACGTAGTCCAATCCTAGCTCTTCGAGTACCATGAGCACTCTCTGAGTCGGGGGCGAGTAATACTCCCCATACACTTTGAACGCGGCTGCCTCCGTCGACTCCTCTGCGTCGATTCTCGGGTTCTCAACAGACGCCATCGCTTCTGATCGACGGCGCAAGGGACTCGCGATAAAGATAAAAAATATATAAGAAAAGACAACACGCGCGGATATGGAGCTCCTCGATATATGTACCAGCGGGAGCAAAGCGCTAAAGGTAGTTAGGTGAATGGTGGGCCAAAGCGTTCCTATAAAATGGGGAATCATAAAACAGAGCCGAAGTAGACAAGAGCTGAACGGAGAAAAGCAGGGCAGTGGCGCGGAGGAGAAGGCCAGAGAGAGAGAGAGAGAGAGAGAAGGAGACGGTCAGGGGAATATGCACCCGCTAGGAACGTCGCTCGCTTCAATACTCTCAACATGCACGAAGGGAAAAAATCATGGCGGTGTATCTTTCCATGTTGTAGCGGAAGATTCACTCTCGATTTGCACATTTCGAGAGTAGTGCAGCGAGGGCCACGGGCCTGTGACTGGCCCCAGGTAAATTCAGAGATTATAACGCTTACTTGCTCTATCTTACATGTATCGGACCGCAATTACGGCCACTCTTACTAGGTCTATCTTACATGTATCGGACCGCAGTTACGGTCAAACCTGGATGCATCTGACCGCAAGGACGTCCATAAATAAGTAAAAACGTCCTAGTCGTGCGTATGCCCAGAGTCATACCGAGGTTGGGCAGTCTTTTTTTTTTTTCTTTTTTTTTTTCAGCTGGCCAGACTCTTTTTCCCGCCTCTTCGGACGAATAGAGAGGGGCCATGCGCCTCGCGCCATCTCTCAACATTCGACACGTATATCTGTACTGAAAAGATCTAATCGAACATATTGTAGGGGGATGATTACGGGTCCAGATACATTTTAAATGTCGTGCACTGGAGCGAGACTCCATTTCTTTTTTTTTTTTTTTTTTTTTTTTGAAGGGATAATTGGCGAAATAGCCCTATAAGTTGAGATATATACCAAAATACCCCTAAAAGATATAGAGCGGAATACCCCTCTGACACAAAAAATGCTCTGCGAAATGCCCCTGGCTGCCGTCAACTTTGCAAAATACCCCTAGCGGGCCATGTTTGCAAAATGTCCCAGTACTTGCCAACTTTTCCGAGGTCCTTCGTATTTTCGTTTTACCCCTAGTAGCCCAGGTCATCCTTGCGTTTTGCCCCCAGGCTGTGTGTTTGTGCATGTGTGAGAGAGAGAGAGAGGAGGGAAGTCTGATAGGGGGGCGAGAGAGAGAGAGAGGGAGAGAGAGAGAGAGAGGGAGAGAGAGAGAGAGAGAGAGGTGGTACTTCCATCGACAGGATGACAACACGCTAGCCAACAGGTATGTCTCCAACCCTGAGGCTGGCCTCACGCTACTTCCATCCATAGGACGATCAAAATCGAATGAATCTTCCGTTACAACATGGAAATATACACAACTACACTAGTGTGTGTGTAAGTAGCGTGAGGCCAGCCGCGGGGTTGGAGACTTATAGGCCAGTGTGTTGCTCGTCCTGTCCATTCAAA